ACCCTGGTGGCGCAGTGGTTAAGCGCTTGACCGCTAACCAAAAGGTCAGCAGTTCAAATACACCAGCTGCTCCATGGGAGAAAGATGAGGCAGTCTGCTTCTGTAAAGATTATACCCTTGGAAACTCTATGGGGTAGTTACTCTCTGTCCTATAGGGTCACTATGAGTCGGAATCAACTTGATGGGTTGTTTGGTCTGGATCCATTAGGATACAGCATTGCAGAGATATGCTTCAATATCTCTTTTAAAAAACCTTCTTAACCCCACATTCCCCTGCCTATGATTCCATCTCTGCTGTCTTACAGCATAATGAAACTGTCTCCAATTCTACTCCTTGCATTTTGTTCTGATATCATTCAGACCACACCACTAAGACCGTTCTTATTAAAAAAAAAAAAAAAAAGACAAGGAAAATATTGCTGCTAAATCCAAGGCTCTTACGCTCAGTCCTCATTAGCTGACTTCCTTATCTCTGCAATGTCTAAATGTTGGAGAGCCCTAGGGCTTAGTTCGATTCAGGAGCTACTCAGGTGATGATCTCATCCAGTCCCAAGGACTTAAATTCCATTTAAACAACATTTAACCCCCAAATCCACTGCCATCGAATCAATTCAGACTCACAGTGACATACCTATAGGACAAAGTAGAACTTCCCCATAGGGTTTCCAAGGCTCTAAATCTTTACAGAAGCAGACTACCTCATCTTTCTTCCATGGAGTGGCTGGTGGGGTCAAGCTGCTGACACTTAGGTTAGCAGCCAAATGCTTTAACCACTGTACCACCAGAGCTCCTTAAATACTATTTAGAGGATAATAACTCCCAAATTTATAGCTCAAGACCTCTCTGGCTCACCCCTAAACTTCCCATTTGTATATTCAACTGAAAATTTAACCCATCTACCTGGATGTTTAAAAGGCATTTCAAACTCCTGATCTTCATGCCACGTGCCCCCAAAATGCTCTGTCCACTATCTTCTATATCTCAGTAAACGATAGTTTTATTTGCCTCATTACTCATGCCAGAAAATTGAGAAACATCTTAAGACTCCTCTGACAGTTCACATTCAATCCATCAACAAATACTGGTTGGGTCTACTTTCAAAATATATGTGAATCTTACCACTTCCCAAAGGAGGCTTGGTGGCACAGTGGTTAAATGCTTGGCTGCTAACTGAAAGGTCAGTGGTAGTTTGAACCCACCAGCTACTCCATGGGAGAAAGATATGGCAGTCTATTTCTGTAAAGATTTACAGCCTGAGAAACCTTGTAGGGCAGTTCTACTCTGTTCTATAGAGTCACTGTAAGTTGGAATAGACTAGATGGTAATAGATTTGATTTTTTTGGTTAACCACATCTCAAATCTTCTACTACTATCACTCTGGCTAGAAGCCAACATCAGTTCCCATCTGCCTTCTCACTGGTCTCTCTGACCTGAGTTTTGCTCTCAAAACAACAGCAGTCATGGCCAACCTCCTTACAATTGTCTACAAGGCCCTACATGATCTGGTCTCCTACTAACTGACCTCA